ATTTGAGAAACGGAATGATAAAGGTACTGGCTAATAGGAGTGACTGAGATGAGGGATATATTGTACTCTTGTGACGACTCAGGTCGATTGATTAAGAATTGGACACAAAACCCTAGTAATGCCGAAACATTACGGCTCAAGTATTTACTCTTTTACAAGCATTGTATTTCCCACCACTTTTTATTGGTTGTTGAAAGAATTTGTATTTGGAACAATATACTTAATATAAATAAACGATATAAGGTAACATTCAGCAGGGACCACGCCTGCATGGCCGAGCCATGCCATACGATCAATTCCAATTAATTCAATTCCTTCTTCCCGCCCTCTTCGTCGTTGGGTTTTTCTCTGCGTTGAATGTTGAATGTCTGCTTCCCACAGTGTCTCGTATTATGGCCTGGACGGTTGTCTAATATGTTGACTTTTGGAAACCGAAATTTAAAGTTAAACGAAAGTGACATAGTAACTGAAACTTCAACAACGTTCAAAAACTAATCACAAGTTGGAAATTCACAATACAGCAATGACGATAGTAGATAAGTCAAAAGCTTGACAAAACATGCAGAGATACAAACGAAAGTTCAAGAAACGATGCAAACAGATGGAAGAGACGGCACAGTGACAAGGATAAATATGCTCCACCCTCTAAACTGGATGAGTTTGGAATGCTGAACAACTGTCTAGGTTAGTTCAGATACACGCTATCGTCCGGTCGAAACTAAAACAAGTTAAATGGGTAAGTGACGGTTTTAAACTTCACTGAGAACTGAAATATACATTATAACCCAAACAAATATTACCACCTGGTTATTCAACTAACGATTGTTCAATGAACAGTCAAATCTAAATTACACTAACCAGATAAATTGATCAAAGATATAAAATAATTACCAAACGCAACGAGCAAATGTCATTCTATCGTTTCTTGACAGAACACGTACAGGTTATTCGACACATATAATTTAATTTCGCTATAACGCGGAGCGTTTTCAATTGTGAAAAAGTGCTTCGATTCACAACCAAAGTTGTACAGTTTCAGTTAGTGCAAGCGACACAGTCGAAAACGGGAAGCAAATAAATATGGCGACCGCCATAATTGAATGTCGACTGAAAAAACATAGATGCAGTTCAGGGAAAACATGGAAGTTCATTGAAAATGTAAGGAAAACAAAAGGTACAATAAACCGAGAATAGTTCCATCTCAAATGGGATCCGAAAACCCACAAAATATACATCCAAAGTAATTAAGAGAAATAAATCGCAATGCTGTGTATACGGAGGGAATTTCACACACGAAACTTTCAAAAAGGATCTCATGATGTATGCAAGAATTTTATCACAAATTCTCACGTGAGTGAACAAACGCAATGCACAAGCTCAATATTATTTTTAAAAAAAATAATATTAGCGAAAATCCCCTTCAATCATTTATATCTGATAATTAATGAATTTTGTCCAGAAAAGGTAAACCAAAAAGAATTAAACGTAAGAAAAAGGGCTTATTATACATGCGGGCAGCTTAAAACCTGCATCCTATGCGGTAAGAGGGGATGAAGAAAAAACGTGCCCATAGCCACTAGTAATACAGTGGGTTTGCTTTCTCCAGAGACTGGTCAGTTATTATCATTTGGCTGAATGAAGAAACGCAAATCATGGCTTTGTCATTACATCGTAAATTTTATGTCAGCTTGTCTACTTTTTATATGAGTGGATCCAAAAGCTTTAAGATCACTTAAGCATCTGAAACTAATGACTCACAAGTGACTGCGAAGAATATATTTCTCGCTAACTGGTACTCAGAAATATGTCCAGAATAACACTCTTAACGTTTCGAAACTTGGAAAACAAAGGAAGAAGTGTTCATCTCGATGGAAGAAACAAAAAATGATGTTTTTCCTACTCAATGGTACATTAACATCAAGGTAAACTTACTGGATATAACTCGGTCAGACCACTTAAACTGTTGATCTCAGAAATCACGGTACTTTTGCTGGCAGCTTATTACTGTTTAACAGCGTCAATGAAAAGAGGGATTAGGTTAGGTCTTTCATTTAAAAATTGGTTTGTTATGTTCAAATTATAGATGGAGTTATAGAAAGCGTCATAGTCGAAACTTGTGTAGAGACATCCTAACTTCAGGACAACCAGGATAACCCATAGATGAAGTAGAAACTTCAGTTGTGATCTAGTACACTGTATAAACCAAAACTTTGGGTGAATGTTGTGCCGAGGCACATGATCTCATATCTCATTTCATTTCAATCACTCTTAACAGATTGTCACTCTGAAGAGGTTCCACTTACCCTTGCTCAGTGTCTCGTATCATTTAGAAAGTTAATAAACCAGCCTTATAATTTCATAATGAATTTCAAAACTATCCGGTTTTAACTTGAGTCCCAAATGAAGGACTTTGTCAAGCGCTTTATTTAGGTCTTTAAAAATTACATCTACAGGAATATTTATCTCTTCTGCTGCAGCCGTGGTGATCGCTGGACAAAAAAGTAAGCCCTTCCAAATAGTCTAAAATAACCATCCGAATAATTTTCTCCATTAGTTTGACAACTACAATGGTTAGGCTAACGGGTCGATAGACTGTTCTTCCCTCCTTATACACTGGATTGATTATGGCGTCGTTCGAGTCTCTTGCCAGTCTGAATTGCCACAAAAATATAATTCAGCATGGCCAAAGTTTCTACAGTTACATTCGACAGGGCTTTCACAATTCTACGATGAATGTCTTCAGGACCACGAACTTATCTCGTTTGAGATGCTGAAGTAATCTTAAGACATTTTCTTTTTCAATGACTACAGGGTCAGTAGACAAGCTGTTTTGATCACAATTCATGGTTAGTTGATTCTCAATGCTGATAGAAAATATCTTACCAAAATATATCAACAAAGCTTCAGTTTTTCAACATCACCTCTCATAAATATCAACAGACTTTCTTGTTCCAAAAGTGGTGAGATTCCATCATGTCTCTGATTATGCTTCTTTATATATGAGGATAAATTTTTCGGATTATTTTCCAAATCTTTATCCAATTGTTTTTGATGACTACTTAGTTTTATTTATCAACGCTTTACAAGCCTTCTTAGTGGATATGTACTGTTATAACCAGTAGAAATGAACGTATTCCAACTCTTTATCCTGCGTGTAAGAAGTTTCTTGACCTGTTTAGTCATTATTGTTATAAGTATAGACCTGATTCTGAAGTTGTAGATATGTCGTGATGTGACTTCCCAATCTATAGGATCTTACGTAGAAGTCACATAATTGTCTACACTGACCCACTGTATCGTTATAATCAACAATATGATTTTTGGATTTTCTAAGGAACACGTTAAGGTTAGAGATAGATGGCATATTTAATGTGAACAGAGACAAGTTATACCGAATGACCACGTCTGCAAGGCTGAGCCATGTCATCCGGTTGAATTGAATTCAATATATTCTCGCGTTCACTATTGTTAATCTCTTCTGGTCAATTGTTGGATATAAATATTCTCAATAACCATATGCTTGATTTCAGAGGACGTGTAGTTAGGGTCCAATGCTACTATCTATCTAGTATCAGGTGCAATAAAACCTAATACCAAGCACCTGTTATTTTCACATCATAGCTGAAGGCGCTTTGAAATAAAGTCGCCGGCTAAGCAGATTGGGCTACAATAGATGACACCAAGTATAAATGTAAGCATTTGGTAGTCAGTACACAGCTGATGGCTTCGCCAGTGCCACTATCGTAGGACCCATAAGCAAAGGAGAGGATATTCATGGAAACTCCCTTAATGAGTACATATGGTAGGGGCTTGATATTGTCGCGGGTTCTCTTGCCTGTTATTATCATTTCTTTACCTGAACTCCTGTAGAACACGATGTTACGAATGAATGCTTCGAACTTCCCGAATCACTCGCCTGGACCAGCGTCGTTTGATTCTGGCAAATTACCTACAATAATATTCGATGAGAATACGCTTTTAACAGCCATGCTATGATGGAGCTCAGTCTTACCCCAAGACTGTATTTTATGACGCGGAATGGGAGTCTTCCAGATAGTTGCCAACCAAGCGGGTGGTGTTTGTGGCGTTTTTCCTTGTTCTCTCACGGTAATCCGCTTTCCGTCACTCAGGACAGCCATATCTGGACATCAGGAGCGGTGAAGATTTTAACCAGGCCTTCAGTCTCTACTTTCGAACCATGACTACTAATACCAAGCGGTATTTAACTCTGCAATAGTTTCAATGAGAACTTTACTTTTCCGTGAATTACAGCTGGATGTTTGGCACATCCCGTAATAACGCATACTACACTGACACATTCTTTGCCTCAGTACTTGTTTTATCAGTGAAAACATCATCAATCTTCTTTCAGGCCAAAGCCAAGAGGCTCATAGTTTACTGGATCAGTAATCTCTTACCCGAACAGTAAATAATACCAAGCTAATGCGAGTTAAGCTTGAAGAGTCTTTTGCGCGTGGTGTGGCTTAAACGGGTACATATCTTATCGAACCCCTTTTTACACTCACCACACTGTATTCCTGCGCCTACGGGTAAAGAACGATTTGGCTATCCAAAGAGCCTACCAGAAAGAATTACTACGAGAAGGACTTAAAGAAACTTTCAAACCTCAACTGGAATAATCTGAGTTAAAGTAGGCCAAGTATGATTTGGTGCAACAAATACACAAAAGCGAAATGAAATCACAAGTATTAGATCAATGTCTTTTTTGGAAACGTGCACGTGTAGTTTTGGAAATGGTGATCTAGATATTAAGATGATTTGTGGTTCGTTACAATTCGGGGCTGGTTATTTTCAAGGCTATTGCTTGGAAGTTCATCATAAATTCATTTTAGTGCAGGATGATTCCTATTACATCAAATGATCAGTTACTGAGACGAATTACCAGATCAAGTGACATTAACTTCATCTATGAGCTCTCTTAAAGACAGGACGAACCTTTGCACAGATGCTTTCAGCAACTTATATTGAATAATTTTAAATGAGCGGTCAATAGCGCAGTAAACGAAAGTTAATTATGATTACGTGGTTTTGTGTTCAGGTCTAATAAACTCTCCCTGATGTTAGATAAAAGTGATTCACCGAGCAAAAATCACATCGCTCCAACAAGCATCTCAGCTCACGATAGTAAAAACGAATGGAAGTGTGGTGGCAACACTAAACCATTGCACAACAGCAGTGATCTTAAAATTATAAGAGAAAGGAAAAAGAATAAAATCAAAGCCAGTTTGAAAGATTCTCGCTATAAAATAGGTTTGAATTTAAACCGAACTCTATGTCGTTTCAGTGGATCAATGTATTAGAGAGGCAGGATTCACGGTAGTTGACAATGATGATAACAATGACGCGTAATGTGCATATTAAATGTAACATGCAGTTAAGATATTTAATATGGAGCGACAACTTTCTGCCTTTGGAGAGGATCATGAAATTGAAGCCGTACCAACGCGCCAATCACTTTCCTGGTATGATTGAAATATGTCGAAAGGATCTCCTTACCAAGAATTTCTCAAGGTTTGAATTTTCTTGATCCTTTTTTGAAAATAGATTAAATGTATACCTCAAGGTGGCTTGTTTGCTCAAGAAAAGTCTTTTAGATTCAGACCTTAGAGTATTTTGCACCGAAAACAAAGCATATATCAATCAATGACATACGTAATTAATGCATGAATAACTCCAATTATTTGTAAAACTTTCACGGCTTTTTAGTTGCTCACGCTTTGAACTATATTTATTATCTCATTTCAACAATTAATCTGTTAAATTCTGTGAGTTTATAAGTCATTTTTCCATAGTGTTAGTAGAATAAGGTTCTGAAATGATATAGATCTCCTTAAAATGACAAATACAGCTGTGTTTATAGTTCTTTAGGCTAAATTGATCAACTGCACATCAATAAGTTTTTAGTATTCAGAGATATACATTAGGATTTGTATGATCGATTCGCGTGTTTTTTGTCACTAAATATACGCAATACTTAAACTAATCTCTACAACTTACATGAAGTAAAAATCGTGGTACATATTGGTGACAAATAATAAGCTTCAGTGCAGTGATATCTGAAGAAAGTATGGTTAGATTTGAAATTTTGAATTCAAACATTTAGCAATAGGCTATTGAAGCCACTAGGTGTTGCTGATTCTTCTATATCATAATGGAGTTTAGTTTTGTGAGGAAAGACAAAGTGTGTCTGAGTAGTTTATGGCTGTAAGACTAGTACCTTTTAGAATGTTGGATGATAAAATGGGTAGAACTACATGTTTATCAGATGAAATGATATGCCCTTAAAGGTAAACGTTTTATTTGAGTAGATAAATCTGACCTGAAAAACTTTTTGAACATTTACTTCCTTTCGAATTTCAGTATAGCAACAGAAGAACTATATGAAGTGTCTCAGTGCCTCACTCCTACAAGCAGACAATTTTACTGAATCTTAATTTGTTTATGGTTGACTGAAATTATCGAGTTTGTGGTATTCAAAGTGCTTAAAAATGTCACTTTTTGGCTATGGCACAGTGATATTTATAAAATACTAACCACTTTATTGAAATGTTTTTGCCAACTTTCAAGCTAAATGAACACTTAAGTTTCAGTCGACCATATTTGTTATTTTTGACCTGTGTCATTGATATCTGATAATAATCTGTTAGTAATAAACTAGTCATAATCGTTTATTACTTGGTTCATATATCTTGCTAAACACATGCATTTTATAACACAAATCGGAGTAACTAGAATTTCAGGACCTTAGGACATTTACACGCGTGGTCTTGCTGTTGATTATAAACCGTATTTATAATTACCTCGTATTACGTTAAATAAGGATCGTATGTATTAATTGTTGGAAAATATTAGTAAACGTATTTGGATGTTTTTTATTCAGATGTTTGAGGTAGTCGTAAATAGGTGATAGATGGTATTTAAAAAAATTTATGGACAGGTTCATAACTCAAACCAGCTTTCTTTCTATCTTCAGCAGGAATAATAATCAATCTAAATATAGGTATTTACTTGTGATTATATCTCGATTCAACTGTAACTAGTTACGTTTATATCGATTTGCTAGGTGGATGAACTGAATATTCCCCACTTTGTTTTCATACAAAATCCTACTTAAGTTTGAACCCAAAGTCTATTTAATTATTTTTCGCCTTAGCCAGAATGCAGAAGGCTGAGCCAGATGAATATAATTTTATGCCAAATACATGGGTCCTACCACAAGAATTTGGATACTTTTCAAATTATGCAAGAAAATTATATCGACAAGGGTGTAACGCATGCTTCATACAAAAACCAGCTAATGGAGCTATGGGACATGGGTGAGTAAATGAAAGTTATCTTTTTGTTGTTTTTATTTTCATTGTAATAGAATTATTGTTCAAAGTTAATGATTGCTTCAAATAAAGTAGGGAGTTGAAATCAATATGTGGTTCGTTTGAATAGATAACTTACTAGTTTACTAGTTTGGTTTTTATGGAAACTTTACATCATCAATCGTTTGTGTTCGATAAACTTTAGAGACTGCAAGGCATGTAACAAATTTGTTAATATTGAGTTTAGGGACCTTATTCTGATGGATCTTGTTTATAATGAGATTTATATTTACATCCTGAGTGATCATTTACTTGGTTACAATAAGTTTAATTTAAATGTTATGCTGTTCATTGGACCAATTTTATGTTTATTTACTGTACTAATCAAATTAAACCACGCACTGCTCGTGATGTCATATGTTTTTCGACGTCAACATTGAATTGTCTTTGTCACTTCACAGAATAAACCATTCTATCCCTAAAATATTTATTAATTGACGTAGTTTTGAATCTAAATTTTTATTAGCTTTAAATACTCAGCATTTTACCAAATAATTTTATATCTGCATTAAAGTACACTTATAGTACGGTTTGAACATTTTTATGCCAATAAGTTTGAATTCCTGAACCGGTTGATTCTTTTATTTGGTGTCATTTAGTTGATTATTTGATCTAATAAATGTCAGTAGATCAGTTAGTGAGCAGTTTTGGTGATTTTGGTTTTACATTTATTGAACAATCAGCAAACAATGTTCGTCAATTTATGGAGTTTAGTTCAAGTTAAAGCTGTACACAGATCGATTTAAATTGATGATTTGTATTATAATGGATGGTGATGAAAAATTAATATATGATACAATCGAACTCCGAACTAAGCCAATTTCAGCAAACTTGTTTATCAAACATCAGTCATGTAAACAATAATGAGTGACTTCTAAACAAACTCGCGATTTAATAGAGTCCGACTATGCATGTGATGAAGTATTCATTGACGAATGACATTGAATCATCATATGTTAGTTCACTGATCCCATATGATATCTGAAATTCCTGCATTTAGCTGACTAGGCTTGTGGTATGAACGCCTGAGTTCCATAGTAAAATAAAATACGAGTTAGGTACCCTGTCTTTTTTAAATGATCTCTAGTTAAAACTAATCTGTAACAGAATCCTAAATCAAATCAATTCTGATTATTAGATAAATCTGAGAGCTGTAATTTTCAGTAATTTGTAACTAGTACACTGGTTAAATATTACTACAATATATTATTATATTTATAATTTCATAGCATGTCTATTCAATTTCTTAAATATAAGCAGTATGTCATCACTCTATAGTGAGTGATTGTTAGTCTCAGCCATACTCCTACATCCATACTACATGGTTCTGTTCCACACGATAACCGCGATTATTAATTGGAGAGTAAGGATATTTTCATCTCACAAGTATTGTGTTCCCTGAGCTGAATGGTTTAGTTTCTGAGATATCTGGTGACATCGCTTTCTAAAACAATAAGGATACTTTCACGAGAAAACTATTCTGCTCTAAAATCCTCCAATTGGGCCAAAATGTTCCTTAGAACCTCTGAACACTTTCGAATCGCTAATTCATATTTTCTGTCATTTCTGTCACTTTGTGGCAATAATATAAACGTCACTATCGTTACTTGGAAACTGCTACCTTACATACTTTACGAGTAACGTCATCTTACGGAAACCACTAACAGGAATTTATTTGATTTAAAGTAGGACGGATGGATTTGTATTGATTTGAGATCATTAAAATTTTCGGCGCGTGAAATCATCTCGATGGAATGAAATATGGCTATATTGCTTCCTGCTGGATTTACTAAGTTAGTTTTGGGCCGAACCCCAAGAAAACTCCACAGTAATCATTTTGGTAAAGAAGCATATATGTTTTTTTCGAAAAGTAGTTGTCCCCAGTAAATTTTAAAAATTCTTCTTTTAGAAATTTATTATTAACATTTCCATATTATTTTGTTTATAATTGTAAAATAAAGAGAGAAAATTAGTCAAAGTACATCTTTTTTTGAGGTCATTTCAAATTAATTACAATGATAATCAATAAACTGCAGTCAAGTTCACTTATAAGTAATAAATTAGCATCCCCTGCAGATTACAGACCCATATTGATTTTAAAACGCAGAAAACACTGTTTGGTAAACCCCGCTTCAAAGCAGTAACCTTAGATATTGTATTTTTTTCAAAAACATATATTTACTGAGAAAAGATCTGTTGGTAGTTCACTTCTGTGTATCTAATTTTGATTTAATCTTTTATAACCTGTGGCCTTGTGCACTAATAATATATATAGTACTGATACCGCCAAACGGCGAACAGTGAATTATCGATCGGTCCAAAGGGCACATAAAACCCGTTGTGATAATTAGGAGTATTTGAATTATAGTACAGACTAAGAATCCTAGAAATAGCGCATTTTAATCAAGAAGTATTAGATGAGCATGAATGAAAGTATTGTATTTGGAATTCGAAATCAAGCAGTCAACAAGTACCAAGAAATCACTAGTTCATACAAACACCATACCTGTACAAGCAGTCTAAAGTACTTATCGGCCTCTGCGATATGAATGATGTATTTCAAACATACTGGGTTTATATACAGACCAAACAGACCACATCGTGCCATAAAATAGAAAATAACATTTGTACAAGATCTAGCCTAGAGTGGCTGTGAATATATGAGACTAATTAATAAACTGGGCATAACTCCAGAACGGTGAATCGCATAATAACAGTCTATGGGTCAAAATAAAGCCTTTAATAAAAGGAACACGAATACACATAGTTTAGCTATTTAATAATTGTAAAATAAAAATTATATGTATCAAATTGGTCCATAAACTTGTCAAAAGCTACCATTCTTAATTCTCGTCGGGATATAACAGAACTAATGACTAATCTCGTTCATTTTGATTTCGTGTTTGTACATCTTCCTTGAGCAACTAATGCACATAACAAATGAGAAGGATAAGTATCTGTAGATAGATAGATTTGCACATCTAGTTGTTACTGTAAAGTCAATTGATGACTAAGATGGTTTGAAAAGAGCAATCTACCGAATCTTAACCAATTTACCATTTACTTTGAAATTTCGTTTATTCAATACTTTCGGAAGCTATTTTCAAACAAATGATGACTTTAATGTTTAGTCCATAGATTTCGGACAAGTCTGTGTAAAATTTTCGTTTAATATAGACAACCGACCAATCAAATATCCTGTTTTATAGTTTACATTATGAACTGACCCTAGTTAGGTAGCCTTTGAAAACCATGGGGGACTGGACAGCTACTCCGTTCTAGTGTTGCACTCTTCTGTGGAAGGTGCCCATTCCGGCCACGAATTAGATCAAGGACCTTCAGGTCTTGAGATGAGTGCTTGACCCTTAAAATACAGAGTCGGAATACGTTACTTTTCATTTCTAACTTCAATCAGTCCTCGATCTTGTGTAGCCATGGCTAAGTGCCTCATACCTGAATTTAAAGTTTGTTTAATATATAAACATTTGAATTCTATACAATCATTCTACTTATCAAAGCTAATGAATATTCCTTTGGAAACGTGTTGGCATTATGCTTATGAATAAATTCTTAATTTCCTGAAATTCCGTTATTGACAAATGTAATAACTACACATACACATTAGTATAAGTTTATCTCACTGGTCAAAAGCTAGTTGAAAGACGACAAATATATGTTTAACGCCTATTTTCAAAAGAGCTTCCTTCAAGCTAGAGAACTTTCTACCAATCATTTGGAACCACATATACATGATACTATAAAATGTGTAAGATTTACAAAAAGATAAAGATTCGATTTTGAGGCAATGGGAATTAAAGTTTGAAATTATGGATTATAGTAATATCAGTGGTAACTATCAATATTATTACAGAACAAACCTTTAAAAGCTAATTTTATTATAACCATCATCAGTATTAATGATCATGATGATAAATATCTTATCCATTAGCGACTATCTAGACTCATTAGCCTGATGAACAGATGGTTGATGTTTTAAGTGAAAGATAATAGGTTTGAGTTTCTCAGCAGGTAAATTTAATTATACAGTGCCGATTGATGAATAGAAAAGTGTCTCATGAACAACACTATTAGCAAGAATCTAAAACTATAGTCAACTAGATTTTGTGAACCTTGCAAACCATAATAAAACTAGTCAAGCAGTGAACGTAGTTTATGAACTGTGAAAGAAAAGTCATATCATAATGACAGAAAGTTGTTAGATCTTATGAATCGTGAAAGACGTTGTTCATCACGACTGAAACATGATCTAGAGGGTTTAGATCTATAAAGACGTTTCAAATAAATACTGATGACTGTGAATTGTTTACTCTTATTACACTGAATACTTTAACGGTTTGATCCTAGTCATTCTACGTAATAAGAGGTGCAGCAAATTAAGTTTATGAAATAGTTTCTACATTGTTCTATGTATTCCATTATTACTATTATTATTATTATTATTATTATTATTATTATTATTATTAGTTTCATTAGAAATTCGTCGGTCTACAATCATATTACATATTTCCTGAAGGAAATGGACAGATTTATGAATGAGTTATGCACATATCTTTTATTCAGGTTAATTATTAAAAACTTCTTACTCACTATCGACTTTCCCAATTGAGTAGCTGGATTAAGCATGTATCCAGGACGCGTATATTATCAACAATGGACTTAGATGACCGTATGATTAAACGCTATTTTAGTAATCAGATGTGACTAATAAAGTTTAGCCATAATGACTGTGAGAAAGATATAACTGGTGGATAACACTGTGGTATGACTATAAAATATCTTGAATCGAAAAACTTTGGAAATGTAAACTATTAAATTTCAGACTAATTTGTATGAATGGTACTGTAAAATTGTCGTAAACAATAACATTCTCTCTCCTCGAATCATTATGTCTCTCCGCCTAGTGTTTTAGTTACAACATTAGTGTTGCGTAATTATGTAACACACTAGTGCTCAGTCATCTGACGATTCGATCTATAACTAAATTTAAACCACAACAATAGTACATTATGGAAAAAAGTACAAAGAATAGAAGTATGTATAATATATGTATGATATGCCAGATATGTCTGTGTTCACGCATCGGCCAATCACAAGGGACTTTAGATGGATATATCAGTTTTTATTACCACTAATAATACCATTATTGATCCTGACACTGATATCTATGATGATAGTTTCCTCTAGATAACTAATTTAGAGTGAGCTCTTGAAATGATTCACAAATATACCAGAATTCGCTTTGATTATGATTGGAAAACTAGCCTTAAGTTGAACAAATTTTTACAAAGCCTTTTAAATATCTTTATCAATTAAATTTTAAGTTGTCTCATTGTTAATATTCAGGATTAGATTTTGATTGATCTTGGTTGGCATATATGTACATCCTATTCAGATTAAGTCGTTATGACAATCTCATCACAAGTTTTTCTAGAACAGATGGAATGAGGTTAGCTGTATAAATAAGAGAGAGAGTTTCATCCTATTTAAGACTTGTTTTATGGATAAACCTAAACATCAGTTCTGATGCTCAGTGATGTTCTCGGTATGAACATCAACACTAGGATATAGGTGAATTCAGCTTAAGAGTCTTAAATAGAAAAAAAAAACATCCATCACTGATTGTACTTTTAGCTACAATCCAACTGTTCTATACTGTCTTTATAATAAATTATTAATATATTACTAGTATAATGTCTACAAATATATGCAAATGTTTTTGATTATTTCCATTCAATCTTTTTTCTCCCATTACCTTTATCTTTTTCAGAATTCGTTTATATTGTAATATGAATAAAATATCAGGAAATGTAAATGATAACATAATAAGTGTTATCCAAGAATATATTGAACATCCATTACTTATTGACGGATATAAATGTGATCTAAGAGTTTATGTTTTAGTTACATCATGTGATCCGTTAAAAATTTTCATATATAATGAAGGTTTAGTACGCTTGAGCGCTGAGAAATATATTAAACCAAGTGAACCAAGTGGAGTAAGTCTAAATCTAATCAATAAAAGTTCTTTTCTGTATAAAATGTTTTCATAAATACGAAATTTGGAATTTCTAAGTTTGATAATAATGTGTTACGCATGGTCTAATAGTCCCAACATGCACAAAATATAGGTCCAGAGTATCCTGGAGATTATCTCAATCTATTTAACATCTAAAAATAGTTCTATGCCATGTTGAATCATCTGGACTAGCTGCCACATAGCTAACTGATTAGTAGAATTTGATCAACATTAAAGACTAGGTGAATTTAGTATCCATCATTACTCAGTGATAAATTAATTTGAGTATCTATGTTCTAAAAGTCAAACACAGCAGAATAATTTTAGTAATAACTTCCAACTCTATGAAGAAAATCTAATTTTTCTATTCATTGGGATATTACAAATATATTATTTATTTATAACAATCTACTCAATGCTCAATTTATTCGAAATTATCAAATCAAATCTTGGTAATGATATCTATAATACTCTGACACTTTGATTAGGCTCTTGGATTTTCGATTGATTACAGGAAGAGGAAAAAAGTGAATAACAATATAATCAAATAGAAAACCTGGTTTTTGTAGGTCTCAGTTATAACTAAAGCCTAAACATCATGTATATCTATCATTGATCACTGTTCAATGATTAGTTCTTATACGATAGTTTTATCCGAGAGATAATTTAAGGAGTTCTATTCAAAAGCTATGATCAGTAACATTCGAACATGGTTACACATTATATCATAAATCGGTTGAAGTAAGCAATCCATGTCATTGGATTTCAACTCCAAGTTGAGCACCATTTGGAAGACCCGAAAGTTATGAGTTCATTCATCAGTCGGATCATGTATAAGCACTACTAGAGAGTCTCATATTATCACAGAATAGTTATTCAATACTTTCTGGTTTTCAATATTTATCTAACTGAATTCAATTTGTACTGGAACAATTTTTTTTTTCGTTTTTAATATTTCAATTATTCAGGATTCAATTTATCGACAATTAACTAATTATACTATAAATAAACATCATACACAATATAATCGTTCCAATGATGATATATCTGGTAGTAAACGTTCATTTGCATTCTTTAATCATTATATACATCAAATGAAGAAATCGAATCCACTGATTATTTGGGATAAAATCTATGATTTAATTATTAAAACATTAATTATAGCATTACCACATCTTGTACATTTTTATCGTATTTCACAACATAAATCAAATCAGAATTACATTCATAGTAATAACAAACACAGTCTAAAACAATCTGGATATTCTAAAAGTAAACAAGATTTAACAATGAATACTAAACAATTCATATACAATAAAGTTAGTCATGATCTTAAACAAACATCTAGGACAACATCAACATTAATGATCAAATCTAAAGTTGATCAAGACCCAACATTATCATCATCCTCATCATTGATTTGTTCAAATTTATTTGAAATATTAGGTTTTGATATATTAATTGATGAACAGTTAAATCCATGGTTAATTGAAGTGAATCGTTCACCAAGTTTTAATACAGATCAACAATTAGATCAACAAATTAAATATAATTTATTAACAGATACGATTCGTTTATTAAATATTAAGTTAGTTTTATAATGTGAATAATGATAATTTATTTTTAGTTATGTATTATTATATTTTAAAAGACCAGTAATTCATGGGTTCGCATCCCGCGGGGTGTGGGATCGTGGATGCGCACTGCTAAGGAGTCTCATACTAGGACGAAACGACCGTCTAATGCTTCCAGGTTTTCCATGGTGGTCTAGCTTCAATTGACTCATGATTTCAACCTGTGAAATTTCTAAAAATCTCCACAAAACCCATTCTACAAATATTAAATAGTTAATTAATCTGCTACTGCAACGTTTAAATATTGATATTCTTAACTGCTTATTATAACCTTCAGATTACTTCTATATGTTAACTTGAATAATAGACAAAACGTAGGCAAAGTATGGGCTTTACTTTATGGTTCAAGTCCCTTTGGTGCAGGACCGTGGATGAGCAATGCTGAAAAGTCCCATGGTAGGACGGAACGGCCATCCAGTGCTTCCAGATTTTCAATGGTAGTCTAGCTTTAATCAAATTATGAATTTAACTATTAAATTAATTATAATTCTGTAATTTAGATTTGTACCATAAATGTCTTTATCAGGTATATGTTGTGAATTCTTGATAATAAAGCCGTATATTTAAACTTCTTGGCTGTCTATTTTTTAATTTCGAGAATGTCACAAAACAGTCTTTTACTTTAAATCTATATTAACTGACTAATTGTGCTAATTGAATTATGAACTGAAGCCGCCCTAACTTACGATGGTAAAGGCATAGCATAAGGATAAGCCAATTAGAATCGAAAACATAACTACTAGGCTATTGAGCGAAATTCAAAACCCAGGGAAACATCACTATGTAATACTTGAAGTACATTTAAAATGATAATAAGAATTACTTTATGACATCATGAAGTAAAATTGATGATGTTAAACATATATGTTTAGTATTGTCTCTATAGATTGTATCTAACAGATTGTGGATTGTATCTAATACTGTTACTAAATCATAATCTCAAACTCATTATCCTGAAACAAATCTGAATTCCTTGAGGATATATTTTGTAGATAAATTAAAAGGATAACACCTCTTGGATTTCTGAACGGCCGTTGTTTGGAATGCGCTTCTCCCCCTGTAAATGCAAGTTGTTGCTTCAGGACTGGCCTGCGTCAACACCTGAACTAAGGGTAGGGAGTGAAGTAGTCGAACGCGTTGACAACCTCACTTATCTTGAAAATCCGATCAGCCCTAATGGGTTAGCGTTTGACGAAATCTCAGCACGGATTCGAAAAGCTGGTTTGGCTTTTGCCAACTTACATTACCTATGACGAAGGCGAGATATCCGTCAATCAATTAAAGGACGAGTATACTGCCCAGTAGTTCGTTCTGTTCTATTTTATGGCTGAGAAACGTGACCACTAAGAGTAGAAGATACTTGTAAGCTACTAGTATCTGAACACAGATGTCTTAGAAATATTGCTCGCATCTGCTAGGATCACCGGGTAAGCAATAGTGAGGTTAGATGCAGGGTATTAAGGAATGATGGTAAATCAGTTGATGAGGTTGTGAATCTTCATCAACTGAGATGGTTGGGCCACATGTTGTGTATGTTTGAACACCAATTACCATGACGCGCAATGCTGACTAGTGTTGGGGATGGTTGGAAGAAAGTTAGAAGCGGCCAAACAAAAACGTGACATCAATCCTTGAAGTCACTAACTTTTAGTTTGAGCCATGTTGGGAGATGCAGACTACTTGGTTAGGATCCGTGTGACTATCGTAACCAATGGTTGGAGACTATGTGACATGGCCCAGAATCGATCACAATAGTGTAGGTGTATACACTCTCTATCTTTGCTTAAACCATGAGATTAAAATCGCTTCATATCTTTCTTTGTACGAACTGATTCTTTTTCTGTCTGTACTACATCCTTACATAAAATCTTTCTTTCATATATTACACCATTGAGTTAACTGCTTCTATGAATCCGTTGTTCATCTTTTTATGCTGATGCGGTATGGCAACTTGAACCAATGCATATATGTAACTGACTGATTCAATCATAAAGAGGACAGGTGATCCTTCATTTTTCTTTTTCGATATTTCTAGTAAGCTTCTATTCACAACACTGGTAAATCATTTCTCAGAGTTTTCTAGGTTTCTAGTGACTTTGATAAGTGGTAAATTTTGGACTCCTCAATAGTTGTTTATCAGTTATTCGTCTATAAGCAATTTAGAATCAGGAACATATGCGTGTATTGACACTGTCTAAATTGTCATACCATGTGATCAGCACAAAGTAGTTGAATTAGTGGCAGTATAAATGATATTCAAAAAGACAGTAAACGTAGGAAATGTGATTTCAGAAATTGTTCTTAGTGCAGATCGAATTCTTTTGATCAAGTTGCAATGTAACCACTAGTCAACGTGACTCGATATTGCTTACATTATGTTGTGATGTTAAATGATGGTTGAAGGTAGTCGACAAGAAACTCTAGAGATCGTTTTCGCTCTATTAGCCATTTATCAGCAAGGCGTACTGGTAATTTCCATGCTCCCTGGAGGATTCAACCTTGTGTTATCCAGCTTCACATTAAGAAACATTAACACTGAGCTATTCGTGACGCGACTGACCTCCTGTAGGACTGAAATATATTTTTAATCAATTGACTTGAAAAAAGTAACCCCAGACTTCCTTACACATCAAAACTATTTTTTCATTAAAATAATTAAACTAGACAGTTTTAGGTCCTAGGATCGAATCCGCCTTAGAGCATCAGTTCCCTCAGGATTTCAGATACACCTTGTTGATGAGTGTCAAATAACACTGAGGTCTAGGGTTTCCTGTAGACTAACTCCAATCATCACCTTAAATGACTGGATAGTCACTGACTAATATCAGTTATCCTTTTCCATTATGACTCTCTACGATAGCTTCACACGCATACATTTCGTCGGTCTTTTTTTCAGACCATCAGATAAATCTCGTGTGGAAAAGCAACAAAAATTAACTACAAGAAAACGTTTATATAGTAGTCACTCTGTACAAACAAGAAATTGGATGTATAAATCAAATTCCAATAATCAAAATGATAAGATTCATAAATATTTCGACAATAATCGATTGTCTACCAAAAAACATGTAAACCATGAATTGTTTCGTCGTGATAATGTCCATTTAAAAACAACTTACCAATCACCTTTTGCAAACCATTCAGATATTGACTATTTAAAATTGATTAATGATCAAGATCAATTGGAGGATAAAAAGCTCAGTTGGAAAATTGATCGTTTAGTAAGTTTGAGTTATATTATGATTGTCTTTTTTTATACTTTGAATTATGAATTGATCTTGGCTAGATCACCATTGGAAACTGGGGGGTACTAAACAACTGGTTATTCTTAGTATGGGATCCCTTAACTGTGTGCATTCACGACCTGAGGATTTTGTTTTGTTTTTATAGAAAATGTAGTTCTTGTAATCAAGCAATAAAATGATATTTATAGATTGTGTTTATTAACTGGTTTGGATTTTGTGTTAGTTAGCATTTTTTGAACAAGCTGTATCCATAATCATCATAGAACTAATTTCTTCTATGTGAATAAAATAGGGTATCACACAATGTCACTATTCAGGTGTTATAACCGAACTTTGGCAACCCACATCTAAACAACAATATAACAGTGGATAAGTACTATAATGTCTTACCAAAAAAATACTGATTCTTCTTGATAGTATAGTCGTTTGTTATGTCTATGATATAAACTGCTATCTGTAAGTAGAAATGGATAGTGATTAGCAGTGGAATCCAGCTAGGGTGTTACGTTCTATTTGGGACTCGTCAGCTGGATGTACTAGCATCCCAACACAAAAATGAATTCTGCTTCACGCTACTGCACAAGTTAGTGGTTATCTAGACTTAGTAGCTAAGTGGATAACCTGATGGCATTTGAAGCGAACGGTACTGGGTTCAAGTCCCAGAGTAAACATCATCTCAGATTTAGGTACATTGAGATGACGAGTCCCAAATAGAACAAAACGCGCGTCCTGGATTCCACCACTAGCTATCATTCATATCTGCCTATGATACTTGTTACATAAGACAATATCGAGGCAGTCCGCACAGGATACACATATGCCAATAAGAGACTGGTCAATTGCAGTCCTAAACAACAATGAGAAGATTCAAATAACCAACACAAAAATGAATTAAACTGTTATCTGTTACTAGTTCTGTGGGAAAAGACTGAAATCACTAGGTGCAGTGAACAAAGCAAATCTGTTAATGAAGATACTTTCTTGTGAACAGACCATTGATTAAAATATATAAAGTTACATATTATTTTAAATGTAACTGCATTACTGAGTTATGTAGTTTGTTCCCTTTTACTAAATTCTATGTCCCCAAGAACTCGTGACATTACCCTTAAACTACTGAAAGAACAGAAGACAATCAAAAGTCTATTTTCTATTCCGATTGAGGATGGTACTTTAGAAGAAATTTATTTTATACAGTTTCTGGATGGCCTTGAGAGTCGGCTATTACATTTACGTAGACAAAGGGTTAAGAAATTCAAGATGACTGCCATTAAAACTACGTTTTTGTCTGATTGGAATTGGAATTTTTGTCAAACACAAAAACAGTTAGTTTCGATCATCTTGCAACAAAGGATAGTAAATATTATCTCCAATCGGTTAAACCAATGCACAAATTACAACTACAACATGTAAACTTTAAGCATATTTGACACTATTTTAAAAAGTACGCACACCTATTTATCAATTATTCACTGGTGCTGACTACTCCAACTGTTTGTATGGATTTGACAAATATAGTGTCCAAAATCTTTTGGATAATAAAGTGATATCACCGGTACAGGGTTGTGAAGATTGTCGTTTTTATTGAGTTCATGAACTAATTGATGTTTGACCATTGAAAACCTGGAAGCGCTGGATGGCCGTTTCGTCCTAGTATGGGACCACTTGGTAGTGTTTTTAGGTTTTCAACCGTGGTTTAACATTGATCGGTTCATGATCTTAATAAAAAATGATATCAGTTAGTAAGAGTATACTGAAAAGTAGGTCACGTATTCATATCAAAAGTAAATGAGTTTTTTATTCTTGAGTTATATTGTCTGTATTCTACTACACTACTTTGACATTATTTTAGATAATTCCACCTCATTGTAGTGATATAGTGTAGCATTCTATGCATATTCAAGTACCAAACTCCACATTTCTTATGATTGATTGAAATTTAGGTCATGAATTCACGAAAATAAAACTGAACTGGGTAATAGAGTTTATAATACCACTAGGTTTGATGCTTAAATGGTATTAGAAATTAGATCGGGTTACATCAGACGCACGATCTATGACCAAAATAGAAAATCAGAGTAACTCTAGAAAATACTTTATTCCACACAATTACGAGCAGTCACTTTTAGTGATTCCGCAGTACAAATCACTAAAGAGAGGAAATGACATATTTAATACCCAATCGTGACTAATCACATTTACTTTCATTTTCACTCATCGACTGTGACCTTGCACTTACACAAATGGACATATTGACAGATCAACAACAACCGAGACGTTAACACTTATTAGTTCTGGCGCTCCTTCTAATCAGATGATGATAGAAAGCAGATCAATTCTCCATCGTACTCAATTTAATTACTAATCAAAACTCATACAATAGTGTATTTGAGTTGTCTGAGATCAGAGCAACACGAAGTTACAATATGTACATAACTTAGTTATATGTGATACATGACCAAAGTATTAGGGAGAATAGTTAATTCATGATAAATCTGAAAAAAAACATTTGAAGACAATTTATGAATCAAACAAAAACTTAGAAATAGAGAAATATAGAAAATACAATAGTCCGAGCGTCTACTAATAACTATAGGATATACTTCCACCGTATTCAACTTAATATACATCACTTTATAAAATATTGATTAAGAAAATTATTGATTATGGAAATTATTAATATTATTATTTGAACACATAGATATTGATACAAGGAGGCACGAAATACATATGCGCCACACAAATCTCATTTGATATATGTGAGGGCTGTGATACTGCCTGGATGCCCAAACCGAAGCAGGTGGTTTTCTTAGTGAGTCACGCCCGGAGCCTTCGACCTAGAGGTCTGATCCACAAGGCAGTGGAGCATCGTGAGGAGATGCAGTCCCATGGTAGCCGATGACCAACGATTGGTTCATACGCCATTTGTTCCTTCGGGATACTGGAGCCCATGTGCACCATTGGTTTGGAATCAGGGTTTTCCAAATCCCCTAAGTAAACTCTCCGTGTCCACCAACCCGGTTAAAGCGCCGGACATTCGCTCTTCGTCCTCTCAGTTTTGTAAACAACACCTCCGCCACGAGAAGACAGTGAGTAGGACTTCCGTGGCAGAGGCTATGTACGCGTGGCCATGTGAGAGCATTTCGAGAGGGTGAGCGGACTCTCTTCACTCTCAGTCGTACCAGAGCATTATGGAAATAACTCGTTTATTTCTTTTCCTTTTTTTTCTAAAACTAATTAGAAACAACAGTTATCTAGAATACGTCAACAATTATCACTTGAATTCTATGAACATCATAATTGTGGTAATTGGCATCGAATATTTCCATCTGATAATTCAACATTACAAACAAAATATGCATCATTAATTATGACAAGTTTTAAACAATTTTTATATTCTAATCATAATGATATATTGAATGAAATAAAAACTACTTATTTAAATCCAATCACTGTAAGTAAACATTGTATTGTGTTTATAGAATTCATTGAATATGTATATTCGCTCAGTGTAATGCATTTCATAAGTATTAAATCTAATATATTGTGATATATACTATTTATGTTGATAGATATAAGTAGTATGTAGCTGTAGTGTTTGAATGAACTAATGATTCGTTTGTACTTGTCCAACGCTTGATTTCGAATTCTAAATACAGTACATTCGTTTGTGCTTATCTAGTACTTCTTGATCCGATTACGTTATTTTTGGGATTCTTAGTTCATACTATAATTCAAATACTTCTAATTATCATATTAGCACTAATTGAAATTGGAATATCATCTAGTAGAAGACTGAATTGAAAAGTACAGGAAAGGAAATTGAGAGAAATTGTAATAATAAGATAATTGAAAGAATCATGAAAGTTTATAGAGGACGACTGAAGGAAGATGTGCAAATAATGTGTTTAATGTATGATTCTCATATTTTATGAAGACACTGTAATTTTGTATAAGAACTTTTTTAATAAGAGAAAACGGCCATTCACTGCTTCCAGGTTTACATTGGCGGTCTAACATTGATCGGTTTATTATTATTATTATTATTGTTATTATTATTATTATTATTATTATTATTATTATTATTATTATTATTATTATTATTATTATTATTATTATTAATGGTTTTATTCCGTATTATATTTCTGACGCAATATAGAATTCTCAGCATAAATTATTTCAACACGTATTCTTTTCTTATTTCTTGATTCATCCTCGCCAGTTAGATGTTAGCAGTTCAGGAATCGACATTTGATTAGTGCATATTCTTTTCAGTGCATATTACCAGCAATCATGAGGTCTCTGATATGGGCTCTTTTTTAATTTGTACAACGAAATGTCGTAAACTTTTCACAAATTTACCTGGGTAGGTTATGAGACTAATAGACATAATGATGTGTTAAAACAAACAAGAAAATAAATAACTTGTTGGAATATGCAGATGGCAGGAACAGGTAGTCCAGATATTCAAGCAGACTGCCTGGTCTCAATTTAAAATCAACAATCTCCGCAACCCTCTACTAATAATTTTGTATTAGAGAGAAATTGGTTTTCTTCACTTGAGTTCGCTTTCACTACAATGAATTAAAGATATCTTCACATTCCCATAAATGTTTTACCATAAAATACAATATTAACACCAGTGTTTGGAATTTTACTACCACTGAATTGGATACTTGATTAATAGACTATATACAAAGTGACTGGATCACGTTATGCCGTATATCTAATTGACGACCAATAATGGAGAATTAGATGATAAGCTTAGACAATACTTCATTCAACAAAATTGCAAGCAGTCTTTACTTGGTTAGTCCAGAGTAGAAATCATTAATACAAGAGGAAACAACATATTTAATGGTTGATGTCTATCAGTGCACGCTAACTAATCAATCACATCTTACCTTCATAAAGTGCACATCATCATTGTTGTCCTAACAAAAAATAAATGAACGGCAACTACTAGGATCTATTCGTTTTATCACGAGCTTTCAATTGACCTATTGGCTATTATTATACGATTTATTATACTTAAGTTATACCCAGTCTCTCACAGTCATAACCACTTTTGGCATGATCTTGCATGATTATTTTTCATGTTATAGCGTAATGCATTCTAGTTTGCTTGTATATAAGTAACGTATGTCTGAAATACATGATTCATGTAATGGAAGCTGAGATTGTGTTCTGAAGTCAAACGGACAGGTATAGGCGAGAAGTTAACATACGGGAGGACCAATAAGGACTCAAAGTTGACTCAAGGCTGCTCGTGCTAGTTGAAATGTCATTGGTTCGGCACAGTGCCAAGATCATATAAGTCGATGATCTGATTGGCGATTTAGTCACGTGATAATTAGTTGAGCAAAAGCCATAACAATTATGATTTTTTCTTATCTATTAGTGTTTATGTAATTCTAAGAAAACTTATGAGGGTTGAAACATTTTGATTGATGAAATTATGAATGGAAAACATTAAATTATCCTGTTGTTCATATCGATCATTGAATTCTGATTGGTCTTGTTTAGTTTATGGAGATTCTTAGCTGATTCTCTTGATGGAATCATTTCTTCCCGTTTTTTCTTCAGAACAAATCAATTAATTCGAGCCTTTACCAATAATAAAAAAAATATCACACCTGTTGAACAAGTCAGTGGCTATTCGAACTAAATAATTCATTGGTTAACTCAATGCTACTTGAAGAGAAAGGTACTGGCTTTGAGTCTTAGTGTGTGTATCGGGACTTGAATGCAGCTGTGTAAAATGATGAGTACCAGATAGGATGGGACATGCATCATCAATATATACATATACATGTATATATATGCTAATAAGTTTCGTCGTCATATTGTTCATGCAACGCCAAAAGTTCACCTCATATTCACCTTTTACATTAATATGACTGGTTATGACAGTTTACTGCCTAAATAAACGAAATAATATATTGTGATTGTTGGGGAGTTCCAAATTATTCCTCGGAAAAGTCCATAAGGGTCCGAAAAACTCTGGGAGACAATTCATCCAATCAGCATTGAGTAGGAGCTTTTTGGCAACATCTAGAAAGTGGGGAGTCAGGTGTCACGTTTCTGATTGGATAATTGCCTACGTCGCTATTTTATTCAGTATGGTTCCAAGAGCCCAAAAGACGTCCTCAATACTTTAAATACACTTGCTTTTCTGTACATAAACCAACCTTGGAGCAAAGCTTTCCTGGAAATACGCACCTCCCCTCTGGTGTTCCTGTTGACGAGCAGAAGTGGTTGAGGATGTCAGAACAGGATAGGAAGACAAATTAAGCGTGTCAATAGCAAAACTTATCAGTGATATTTATTCAGCATTTATCTAATAGGAGAATTGGTTGGAAAAACTTAGTGTAACTTCCTACTTTTAGAGCAGTAAAAAAAAATAAGTGTGCATATGGATGTACATCGTTTTTCCCTTAGAATTAAATACATAACAGAGCTGAATTAATTTCGAGATAGAACATGAATATATTTTCTAAAATGTTTACCAACTGCTTTAGAAAAGTTAATTTTCTTTATGAACTGAATCAAATGGAAGAAAAAGTTTTCATTAAACTGAACACTGGACAGCCGTTTGATCTTATTGTGACAAGCCTCACTAGAGTAAACCACTAAGTGACCTCCATCAAACGATTAAATCTCAGGTTTTTGAGTCTCAAGGTGTGAGTGTTTCGTCTTTGGATAATTAGGTTGAGACTCAATTATTCACATTTCTAACTTGAATCAGTCCTCAATGTCCCATCAGCAATCTTCCAAAACTACTGATTACTTACTTACACATGTTACTCCTAATGGAGCATAGGCCACTGACCAGCATTTTTTTAAAAAACGCTAACCAAAAAAACTACTGGTGGATAACTTTTATTTCCAGCATAACTGAACTCAGTCAGTTACAAATTTCAAATAGAATTTCAGGAATTTATCTGTTATCCAGTTACTAGTGGATAAAAAGTTATTACTTCTTTACTTCCCTACTCCTGGTAACCTTCGTGGAGGAGCAGAGGCCACGTACAACGATATTTCACCGAAGTCTGTCCTGCGTAATCCTTTCAAGTTGTTTCCGGTTGCTATTCATTCTTTTGATGTCCGTTTCCAATTTCCGGTGCAATGTATTCTTTAGTTTTCCTCTTTTCATTTTCCCTTCAGGATTTCAAGTTAGCACTTGCCTTGTGATGCAGTTTGATGATTTTCACAGTGTATGTCTTATCCGCCTATTACCATTTTGTTGAATGCAAATAAATTTGTAAATCTCTCACTATTTTCATTCCTTTCTATCAGTTCATGTTGTCCCATGATATCTTCATATCCAGTGTTGTCCATTCCGACTTTGGTGTTTAGGTCTCCCATCGGGATGGTAAGGTCCTTTCCTGGAAACTTCACTACGATCGACCGCAGCCCCTCGTAAAACTGGTCTTTACCATCTTCATCGCTGTCATTGAAGAGTGCATAGTACTAGTTGAGTTTATTTAAATATGTATTATATGATTAATGAAATTTCATTGAACCTTATTCAAATTACCCATCAAGTTGTATGTACCTCTATTGTCGAGGTCTGGTCATTGAATATTGAATGATTTGTTTAACGTGGCAACTAATCAAACGATACTGTAGAGGCTGTTATTGCAACTTTATGCTTAAATCCCACATGAATATCTGCTAAAATTTCAGTTTCTCTCTAAAGAGTACTAAAGAAGCTAGACAGTTTGAATGTCAATACAGTTGGCTAGAATAAAAAATCATGTAACGGTGAAGTTCCAACATAAGATTACATAAGTTAAGAAGTTAACTCTAGTAATTTAGCACTACTAATAATATCAGCTTATCAAACTTCGTTATATCGGGATTACTTTGAAATTTCCTTGTCATTCTTTTTCATGTTACTCTCTTCTTAATTTTTTTTGTAGGAAGATGACATTTATGATGAATTGTCAAAATTAATAAAAAAAGAATCAAAATCAAAGCCTGGAATAAATGTAAGTCGATAGATCCATTCATTCATCCATTAATTTCATCTTAATATGGAAATTCAAAAGCATTCATCTATTTTCTTTGATTATTCAATTTGTAGGTCCTTCAAGGAACTGTTCATTATCATGTTTTATTTCAATATTATCTATAGTCACTGTTTAAATGTTTACGTATAACGAAGAGTAGAGTAGTAGAATACTTAAAGCATATTTACTGTAAGTGATACGTTTGTTATGTACATAAAGTTTCTTACAGAGATATGCAGGATGGTGATCTTTAATTGAAGGTGTTACATCAAAACACTGTTATCAGTTCATGATGAGTCGTATTGGTATAAATACAGACTACTTGATTAGGATCTATTCAATAATCTTAATCAATGTTTGAAGATCTTGAGTGACACGACTATAAATGAGCGGAAATGGTGTACATGCATTCACTCTTTATCTTCCTTAAGACTTTGAGTTTCAAAATTATCTTGTTCTTGTATAGTTCATATCTCAAATTCCTTCAAGATTATCAATCAACAAGAAACTTCAAATTTACTATGTTTAGCTGAAGCAATTGCTGTAATCAAGATTTAGGCCAAATTTGTGCATCTAAAAAGATTCAGTTATCTTCCTTTGACATGGTGAACTGTAATTGACAAGATTATAATTCATGGAACACCCTTGAGCAGAGCTAAAGTGAAAGTCAGAAAATTCACCTACTTACTTAGGACCAAACGAGGTTTAAAAATCACTGTGAGGAATTAAAATGAGGAGTTCGAGTTAGAAGAGTTAGGGTTGGGAATTAGAGTAAGAGTTTTCTTCACGAACTGACATCAGCTATTGTGTCAAAATGCTATTCGTCCACATGGATGAATGAATTTTGTGCCAAAATCAAAGACTCGTTATTTTAAATCTGATCGGGTCATACATAAATTATAGTCTCGCCTAAATATTCAAATTGTTTAACATCTATTATAATTCTTCCATACTTATTGCTGTCTTTCCATTTATCTCCACTGATGAGAGCGCTTCCGATAATATGACATGTAAATTATGTACACTGACTTTTTGGAATGATGAATGGTATTTTGCTTGGAGGTTGTAAGCGGCTGATGAGAAACATCGAAATAGAAATGAATTCATGTATTATACGACTACGTCAATTGTCCCTGCTTTGGTTGAATCCAGAATTCACTGGCAAAGAAGACATATCAACGAAATCAACCTTTAACAAACAAAATTGTGTAGATCAAACATTCTTTTATGTAAAAAGAAAATGATGTTCTACGTGATTGAGTGAAATTTGTTCATTGCACATTGGCTGGATTGTAAGCTTGTCACTAGTGAGCACATAATAATTATCTGTATGGAGTTGTTGAGTTTCATTGAAATCGTGAATCGATCAATGTTAGTCTGTGGATGCTCATTGTTGATTAGTCCCATACTAGAACGAGACACTCATCCAGTGATCCCAAGTTTTCAATGTTGGTCTAACTTAGATTGGTTCATGATTTCAATAAAGTTGAAAATGTAATTTCATTTATTATTATTCGAAAGATGTCAGTACAACTTGGAATTAACACATATCATTTCTATTTATTTCGTTCTTAAACGAATTCATTACTCTATTTTAAACTAAAACTACTAACAGATGTAAATACAATCATTTATGTATACTATGAATTTAGTTAATGAATGAATTTATTTTCTTTATGATGAAAATAATTTCACTAAAATTATACCACTTTCTGTGTTAGTTTTCCGTTTGACTTATGATATAAAGAGGCCACATGTTTTTAGCACTACTCGACGTTTACTTTTACGATTTGTAAATTCTTACATATCACTAATTATTATTGACTGTTCTCCATTATTCTTTCCCGAGCTTTTGACAAATGGTTTCTCTGTATTATGGAGAGTACTGAAGACAGTTAGCAGGGTGTGTAGTGATTCTTTCGAGGTCATTATGAATATGACTATGGGTAGACATTTAAAATCTTACAAACTCCTGGCAAGTGTTATCTTATCACATTCTAAAAAATTACTCTATTCACATCTTTCTTCTTGTATATTTTCTGGTAAAACGAGACACTGATGCATTGGAATTCATGCAAACAAGCAAAGGCATACAGACTACATTACCGTATTTAGTAAATATACCATCCAACGAACAGATTGTAAAAGTTGACCTAATCAGTCAACGGGGAAGAATATTCTTTTATTTGTAGTTAATGGAAATAGATCAATTATAATGGATGCAGTTCGGTTATACTTAAAGTGCATACTCTTCATTTTTTCCAGTTAAGGAAATTCTCAAAATACCTTATATCTTATGTTTGTAACTCGGTCCTAAATCATTTTCATAAATCTACAATTATCGATTACTTTATCATTTTATCTGTTATTATTTTTTCTGAGTTAAGTAGGGAATGATCTTTAAACTTATTTTTTATGTTAGTTGACAATCGTTTGCTTGACTTCCACTTAATCTTGAAGGAATCGATGTTGAATGTAAAAATCACACTCAGTGTAACCGTCACAAACATTATTGTTTAGTTATTTGACATTGAGTGTTAACTAATCAGAAATATTGGTTAAACAGGTCTTTTATTATCAATTGTTTTCAAAGATACACTATGACGTTGAAACACTTCAGCAAGTTAGAATTTGATCGAAAATTAATGAATGAAAAATATAAAACTGGTTATAAACCATAAAGTTAAAGTTTCTTCATCTTTATTGACCTTTTAGTGGTTCCAGTTACTGTTTTTTACTTTAAATCATAATAAATTTCTTATTTGAAAAATATTTGATTATCCATATGAGATGACAACCAATCAGAATCAAGAACTTCTTAACCAATCAGAATGAACTTGGGCTTTTTTTATTTAAATATTACTCTAGGTTGAACAGTATTTGACTGCAGTATGGTCACACTGTGTAGATGACCGTGACACAAGTGATAACAATGATTCTGATGATGATATAGATTACGATGGTAGCTTTGTTCATAGCAATGAAAATTCTACAAACCGAATGCATTTACCAAATGATTATTTTATTAAGTCATCAATGGATAGAAAAATGAAAAGTATGTCAACATTGTCAACATTACCACCATCAAATCATGTATCTTTTAATGATGCTAATTTAAAAGTAAACTCAACCCCAGTATCTCCATGTAAATTCTCATTAAATGAAAATTGTAATGTTACGAAACAGATAACAGATAAGCTATCACTTGGCAAGAAGTGCAAATCATTAGACATTGAACGAAATTTAAAACATGCAAATAAACGAATACAAACTACTGATTATGATAATAATAATAATATCTCTCCGGTATCGTTTCCCCGTACTAATCAAAATGGTGGTCATGATAATACTCAACACGTTGGCGACGATCAAGGTTCAATGTTTTATGTTGATTCGACTAATAAATATTTGTCATGCACTACTGGATCGGATCAAAAGAAAGCATGTAATTCAAAGTCAATAGTAGGTTTATAATTTTAAAAAAATTAACTTGATATCCATGTACATTATGGATTGTTTTCATTAATAATTAGCATTTGTTGTAAAGCTGTTATAAATTATGGTTTACTGAACATTTGTTTTATTTTTATGATTTCTTAACAAAGGGAACAAATAATGCTATACAAGATGCTAAGATCTTGGACTTATCTAAAAGTCGGTCAACAAGTTTTGATATATTTAGATACTTATGAATTAGATGTCATTCCTTTATATAGTTATCTAATTTGGTCAAGTTTATAGGTTAGGTGTTTCTTTCGCACTTATAATTTATGGATGGTCTTGAGGTTAACCAATCAAGAATGGCCAGTAAAAAGCACCTTTTATTTACGAGTTCGATAATTTAAAAACTATAGAAATAATGAGGATTGGGAGTTGTAAAATCACTAATCAACTTATTACTGCTAAATACAGATTATTCAGGTTGGATATGATAGTTCTGTAGTCAGGATAGGACCTCATTATTATCTCCACATCTTTTGAAACCCAATTTCTAAACTTAAAACTCCTTATCCCTACCTCCTAAACCTACACCTCCTCGACTCAGACTACTAACCCCAATACTTCATACCAGTGGCTTTCGACACTAATTCTTCTAACCTTGACAATCCTAGCCTAAACATGCACTGGCAGTTCATTTCACAAGGAAATCATCATCCAATCATCAAGAAATATGAAATGTAGTGAAAGCCATGAGCTTTAGAAACATGTGTCTGGAGCAGCGTTTCAAATTTGCGCATCGTATAGCCTAATTTTTATTGACCTCTCAAGGTTGTCGATATTGCATGGTGTTACTCTATCTTTTTACTTTTGTACAATATAACTGAATAATGTGATATAGTTTGTAAGAAATTTGAATAGTGGCTAGCGATTGAATCCAGAAAGAGTATTTTGTCTTACTCGGTACTTGTTAGTTGAGTGTACCTGGCACATCTATGCTAAAGTTCACGCATGGACTCGAACCCAGTACTTTTTGCTTTAAACGCCGAGATACTTACTAAGTTAATGAGTACATACGATTACTAACTTATTTAAAGGCTATGGACTTTATTTGTAAGGATTTGTCCTTTCCCGTTTAATTAAAACATCACTAATTAGGAATATTGAGTTAACCTGCTTAAAATGGTCATATACCAATGTAGACTGATCAATTTTAATTCTTGACATCAACAACTGGAAAATACAAATCCTAACAAATAATTATACAGTTTACATTTACTCAATCATTTCAAAAGCTTGTAGGTTGGATCAAGCAATTTACATATATATACTGTGTTGATACACTTACATGGATGTTTTAGTTCGTTTTATTACTGTTAAGTTTATTACTGTTTCCCTCTTCGTTTGTTTTTTGCATATATGTGTGTCTTCAGTAAGGGGTTGTGAAGATCGTTAAATTCTATTGAGATGAAGAACCGATCTAAGTTAGACCACCGTCGACAACTGAGAACCACTAAACGGCCGTCTCGTTTTAGTATGGGACTCTTCAACAGTGCGTATACACGGACTAACATTGATCGGTTCATGATCTCAATGGAATTCAGCAACCCTATGTAGATAATTATCATGTGTTCACTAGTGACAAACTTCGAGAGGGAATTTCTGGGGTTCTAGTAAGAAGCTGTGACCAGAAGGGTTCAACCATGTCGAGAGTGAAGCGGTTACTCATCGAAGACAATAAAAGATGGTCACGCAACATAGCGGATTGGTTGAAGTTAGACATTAACATCTTTGGATGCCGATTGGCTAAGTGGTCTAGAGGTAAAGTGTTGGCGTGCGAGACTGAAGATTTTAGATTCGAGCCCCATGTGCGGGATGGTATTTTACTTTGAAATTGTCTTTTCTTAAATCATTAACTTATTTTCGTTATTAGCTAATATTATTTCACGACATATTTATACTTTTCACAGTGTAAGTAGCATTTCAACTTCATATCATGATTGGAGGTTGTGTTTTTTTGTTGTTGTAAACTTTCAAGTCAACTATTTATTTGGATTGATCGTTGATCATTTGGTTAATCTGAACTACCATATGAAATGGGTGATCGAATGTATGTTGAATTGTCTATCAGTTGCCGACTGACTATATTGAATACAAGCTAAATAAAAATAACGAATCCTATAAAGATAACTAAATAACATACAAACCCCATTTCAAAATAATGAACTGATTTAATAAACACTTATAGAATAACAAAGATGTCCATGTTGATGGTTCCATCCAATACAACAATGAATACTGTGGGAATTAATTAATCCTAAATGCGCATTGCTGAGGAGTCTCCTAGTAGGACGAAACGGTCGTCCATTGCTTCCAGGTTTTTTATGGTGGCCTAGCTTTAATTAACTCATGAATCGAACTATAAGATTACTATAATATCCACAAAATCCCTTTCTGATTATAATTAATTTTCGATTATTAATTGTATAAAGCGTTAATGTGTAAGAGAAAAAAAGTCGAAGCATTAGTTTTAAAACAAATCAGTGTTTGTTGAGCAGTTCATATTGTGTTTCGTAGATTCCATCATCATCACCCGGAGTTTTAAAAAAAAAGAGACCCAATGATTGTCCATTATTTCATATTTTCTCCGCTATTAGTCACTAACAAACGTTGTTTTCACTGTTCAATACATCTTTTATTTCCATTAATTCCAACGACTTTAACCCTGTTTATTTTAGTAGGTGAATTTTTTTTAAAAATGACATCATCACTAAGAATTTCTGTTCAATCTCATGAAATGACACTTAACCGTCTACTATGAACATGTCCGGTTTAGTAGCACAATTCAATATACTAGATAAAATACACAAGTGTAATACAATTTTACAGTGAAATCTGTTACGAAAATTACACTCTCTAATCTCCAGCACTTATTTACTAAATAAACAAAAAACTAATAACTGGATGTGTTGAATTAAACACACATTTACTAAACATTGAAAACGTCCCAGTTAGTCGCTTAAGTTTATTTTTTTGATTCATAAAAATTTTTAAACTATTTATTTACTAGTAACACTTTTTAACACATTTATTATGGTGTGTGCTGCTGATGTCGACAGTTGTAAATAGTATATATCATTAATCGGACATGGAATACCTAGCGGCAGAAGGTTGAAAAAGTCGATGAGAATAGGACATAAACAGAGAGTGATTGGTATAGAAACCAAAGAACACCAATTTTGAAACAATTCTGATGGATATTTCTTAAATATGATTGTCAAATTTTATCAAGATATTCTGTAGTGTTGTATTAAGACATATTTGATTATCATCACTAGTGTTGTCGTTCACTGCATTATAACTGTTGTAAAGGAATTTCTTCTTTGTGTAGTGTCGTTACTTTTTATCTTAAACTCTTAAACTCCTTCAGTAAAATATATTTTTGAAACATTAAAGATTCCCATTGTGAAAATTAGAATAACACATATAAGCGAGCAATATTGTTTTCAATTAGATCGTCATCATGCTTTACTCTAATGTACATGAATATTTATTACGAAAATGTTGAACCAATCAAGGCAATATGGGTCAATAATCACAATGAAATAGAATAGGTCACCATACGTAATAAGTAAAAATACAAGTTGATAGTAGGGAGACAGGTGTACTGATAGTAGTAAGAATAATAAAATACGATAACAAAAGTCTTATCAATAGTTAAACGTTGGGAATGGAAGGTCGAACATGGGTAAATAGACTTGGAATAGTCATCGCAAAACATTAAAATCATTACGTAATAAGATGTGTGTAAATAATTAGATAGTGAAGAATACAAACGGCAAGAGGTGGAAAATTACAAACAAATACTAGATGTAAAAATAAGGCTAATGATAACAAAAAATAGAATAAATAATAATAATTTATATTCCCGCTACATTGATGACACTTTCATTATCGTAGATCAAAACACCAGTAAGAATAAACTCCTAGAACAATTCAACAATGTTCACCCAGAGATCAGTTTCACTGTTGAAACTGAGTATAACAAAAACCTGAACTACCTTGACGTCACACTAAGAAAACGAAGTGATGGCACATTAAGTAGAAGCGTTCGCTTATATGTGTTGTTCTAAATGCCCCCAAATGCCATGGTATGGCCGAGAGTGAGGTGGGCCCGCTCTCCATCTCGAAATGCTCTCACATGGCCACACGTATATAGCCTCTGCCAGGGAAGTCCTACTCACTACCTTACCGTGGCGGGGGTGTTGTTTACGAAAATGCGAGAACGAAAAGCGAATGTCCGACGCTTTAACCGGATTCCAAACCAATGGTGCACATGGGCTCCAGTATCCTGCGGGAACAAATGGCGTATGAACCAACTGTCGATCACCAGCTTCCATGGGACTGCATCTCCTTACGATGCTCCACTGCCTTGTGGATCAGACCTCCAGGTCAAAGGCTCGGTGTGTGGCCCCCTAAGAAAACCACCTGCTTCGATCTGGACACCCGAGCAGTATCACAGCCCTCACACAAATCGAGTGATTTATGTGGCGCATATCTACTTAGTGCCTCCTTGTACCAATACCTATGTGTTCAAATAACTAAATAAATAATGTTCTAAATATATTTTTTTCTTTTTTTTCTTCTTCAAGGCAAACATCAAAGTAGGTAAACATGAAATGAATATTCTATTAGATGTTGATGATAAATTTAACAATTTACATAATTTAAAACTATCATCTTCTATAAACAATAATGAATATTTGAATAAGATAGCTACTACTACTACTACTACTAATACTACTAATTATCAATTTATACCGAAACAAATATGTTTCCTACCAATTATTCATTGGAATTATTGTACATTGAATGAAATTCTACCATCATTATTAAATAAGAAATTAAATGAATCTTTATTAATTAAACAACAATTAATGAAATATATTGAACAATATGAAAATATGATTCAAAATCAAATGACATTAATGAATTATTATACATGTATGAATATGTTAGCAAATGAATTATCCATTAGAATAATGTATACAAATAAATTAGATCAATTCAATTCGAATACATTAGATAAACAAGATTTATTATATTATTATAATATACAATGTTTTAATAATAAACGAATGATTGTATATAGACATGATGAATTAATACAAACAATAATAATGAATTGTTTGAATTCAATGAATTTAATGAAAATTGAAATTAAATTAGAAGGTATTATTTATTCATTTGGTGTTGTTTCTACTTGTAAGAGTGTAATTGATCAGTCTCTCTTGTTGGTATATGTATGTATTGCCTTGATATTGTCTTACTTCACAAGTATTCTAAGCAAAGATGAATAATGGCTAGTAGTGGAATCCAGGACGCACATTTCGTCCTACTTGGGACTGGGACTCGTCAGCTGGATGTACCTGCATCGCAGAGTTGATGTTCACTCCGAAACTTGAAACCCAGTACCGTTTGCTTCAAATACCAACGCGTTAACTACTGAGCCCTGATAGCCACGTGCTTGTGCAATAGGGTGAAGTTTAAATTCACCTGGTGTTGCTTTACTTGTATCTTCCTATTGTTATTTAGAACTACAATTGATCAGTTTCATGTTGGTATATGTGTATCACGTGCGGATTGCCTTGATTATAGCCTTAAGTTATAAGCTTTTTAAAGCAAAGATTGAACATCAACTCTAGGATGCAGGTATGTCCAGCTGATGAGTCCCAAATAGGACGAAACGCGCGTCCTGGATTCCACTGCTAGTCACTATCCGTCTTTACTTATTTGTTCATTAGTTTATTTTATTTAATTCTTGTTAAAAAAGAAGAATATTTTTTTCACACTGAATACATAACATTCGTGTAAGGGAAAGTATTAACCAGTGAAAACTGTAACACGAAATTATTTATGCTAGAGAACTACTAGACAACAGTTTTTACCGTTGTTTGTCAAATTCTTTAACAGTGCAGGATTACATTTCCCTATAGTGAACTGAAAAAAAGATGGCTAGACTATAAATTATAGACAAACCAATCACGTATAAGATAATAGGTTTCAGATTTTGGCATGAAATTCACTCATCCATTGAGATTGAGTTTTGGCATTATACCTAATGTCAGTTCGTGATGAAAACCCTAAGTCTAATTCCTAACCTTAATCATTCACTGTAAATCATAATTCTAATTCTTCACACAGGTTTATAACCCTCATTTCGTCCTGGTTATAATGTGGACACTTTCAAGGTCACCTTAGAGTCGCTCAAAGGTCGTCCATAGATTATAGTCTCACCAAAAGGATTTTTATGGTGACTACATAATTAGAAGCTTTGGAAGTTAGAGTTTTCTACTATCCGTTTTAAAACTTCACTTAAAGCTAGTCCACAATGATGAATTTTTACGGTTGAATAGATGTCATCAACGTTATATTTCGCATACAACATTCTTTGAAATATTATTACTCAATTAAGTATTAAAATGAGTCATGGAAATTTATTCATCATCACTGGAAACCATTAAGTACTAACTGCTTTCTTCTTAGTTTGGGGAAACCTCAGTAGTGCAAATCTATATATCACTGATCAAATAATTCAAAATTGGTCAAATTACACAAAATATCTACAAAAGTAATCTAAATAAACATCACCATATTTGCATATAACCAAATTATCAATCCCTACTTATTTACTATTCCAGACTTAATGTATCGATAGTAAAAAGATAAGTATGAAAGTTGACCATCTCTCTTCTGTTAAAGCAATTTGAAATGAAAGAAAAATTTACTGATTTTCATAAGTTACCTGAAATGTACTCATTGAGTCTCTGGTATCTCTTTTATTGTTTTTATACTGAAAACGTTTATGTTTATTATTTGCTGGGATATTTCAGAAAGTTAGAAAAACAAACTGTCAAATCTTCTTTGATTTTTGTATTTCTCATTACAGAATAACTTCAGTTAGAATACGATTGAAAACGGAAATACAATAGATAACTGTTCAGTCTTAAGATATGATTCTTCAGTACCGATCTCTACCTGCAACCCATATGGTGATTAATAATTAGGAACTTTTATGTTTCAATACAAGCTACTAAACTTCCACCTGAAGGTTTACATTATGAAATGCAGTCAGCTCGTGTACTACTGAGTTTCATAGAAATGTGAAAAATCTGACCTATATTATGTATTTCATAGTTACCTAGCCAATCAAGATCAGTCTGTTAGTCATAAGTAGAACTTGACAAATTGATGCGTCAGTTCAAGCTATCCCATTATATCAGTACGGTGCGATGAAAGAATCAAGATAAACCCCAGGGTAGTAAAACCAGAAGTAATAACAATAGTGGAAAAAGATTAAACATAAGTGACAGTATGATTTAGGAGGAAAGATTAGATGTTTTGATAAACGGTATAGGGTCATTTTTAAACTCATGATCTAATGGAAGAAATAGAATAAATTCATCCGCGTCATTATCATCTATTCTAAGCCATGTCATACAACATTACTAATCATTAGTTACGGCAATCGCGCTGACTCTAACCAGACAACCTGTACCTAATGGCATTAATTACTTACGTCTATTAGCCTTCGTGGAGGAGCATAGGTCTCCCACCAGCGTTCTCCATCCAACTCTGTCCTGGACAGCCGTTTTCATTCCTCTTCGGTCACTATTCATTATTTTCATATCTGCTTTCAATTCCAGACTCAGTGTGTTCTTCGACCTTCCTCTTTGTCATCTATTCCCATGATTAAGTCAAAATAATCAGCACCTTTGTAGGGTGATACCACTCCTTGATTGATCTGCTGCTATTTTTCCCCCAATTTAATTATACCAGTTAAACAAACTTCTTAAAAAGACCTCTTAAATAAAGTCTATTCCTTTACTTATAAAAAAATATTTAGGTGATTATTTGCCCAATGAAGATATCAGTAAACAATTTGAAAACGGTTTAATGAATAAATTTATTCGTGGTTTACGAATAACACGTTTATTAAATCGAATCAAAAATCGATTATTAATAAATCATGGTCATTTATTTCAAAGTATAATTCAAATGATACCTAAGTAAGTTAAATCATTGATAGTTTTTTTTCTTGAAATATTGTTTGAAAGATGATCATAACCAGTTTTACTGTCTTGTTGATATCCACTGTGATTATATCAATGTAATTTGATTGAATGACTTCCAATACATTAATTGATTACCATCTGTTGAGTATAATCATTGTCACTGACTGATTACAGCTAGATAGCCATCGGAAAAGCAGTACACATACATGTTTTATTTAAATTTCCACCTCCTTAGTAGATGAAGTAATGAAACGATAGAGACAATTAACAGCTTAGGTAAATGGTCTCAGTGTTATTTATTTTACTGAGTTGAGTGGACTGATTGCAGAGATTTCATTGTTGTTCTGGATAACATCACCAGCGTTTACTTCATGTAGAAGTGAGCTTTTTAGTTATGTTTTAAGAGTTAAAAAAAGTCCATCCTGATGACTTTATTTATGATTGATTTTCTTTGTAGTTTCCATTATTCTGATTTGCCCATTAATTTCTATGGACTATCTTGTCTATTTGACTTCTGACTTAGTGGTTGATTGGCCTTATCTATATGGATTGTTAGATAGGACCTACGTTCATTCGCCTATTTATTGTTGATTACTTGGATGACATGCTTCCAGAAATTCCCGATGTCTTGGTATTTTATCGATCTAGAACATCAACGTATTCTCAATCGGTATATAATAAAACCTACAAAGACAATTATGTACAAATAAAACCATCAAGATAAGTCGATTTGATGCTTGTGGAATAACTAAAAAAACATTCCCTTCACATGAATTAAAGAGATAATGATGTTGTCATTAACGATAATGAAAGCTCCACAACAATGTCACTTTTATTCAATGTATCCAGAAACAGAAAACGATCAGTTAATCATTACTTTAATTAGTAGATTGTCTAGAGCTTTCTATTTTATGGAAACAACATCAATAAATCAGTCGATGTAATCTCCCACATTACTAAAAGCTTTTGACTAGATGCCAAAATAGAGCTAACACACATATGCCATAAATGGACTAGTTAATTGTAATCTTTACCATCAATATTGGGAGACTAGAAATCCTTAAAGAAATAAAATTCATACCTGTTTCACAAGCTGGTAAATATTTGATATTCAGTTGGGCGTTTGAAGCGAAAGAAATTGGGTGCAATTCTAGATGTGGATATTACTATGAATACTTTTATATCCAACTAACTGGTCACTAAGATCAATAAACGCCAGTCGTCTATTCCACTGCTAGCCACTGTGCAACCCTTTATACATGTTATATATATATGTAAATTAAATACGTTTCATTATATGATTTTTATATCAATCTATTTTAGTGTACCAGTAATGAATGAAACAATAATGGATATGCCCATGAAACATTTAATTACGGAACCATTATTAAATGTTGAGGAATTATGTTGTAAACATTTTCTTAGACTTTGTATAGAATCTTTTATTTTAGATCATTTGAAATATTTAGATGAATTAATTAAAACTACTGACAATAATGATGATAGTATACATTTCAAAAAGATTACTTAAAACGTATATTTATACATAAACAATATTTCTTGTCATTATTCTACTGTTGTCCTACTCAAATACAGATACACACATGTTTCGTGTAAATCTAGCCGCGCACCTACCATACAAAGGAGAGAGAGAAAGAGAGGGAACTGATAAATAACAGATAAGAGCTGAGATCGGCTAACCAAATAATTAGGTATGCAAATTATTAGCACTTTTATATAACTGTTCTTTTGTCCTAGACAAAGATAAGATATATTCCAGACCATGACTATAAATGGTGCAGTCCGGGTATTTTTCAATACTATTTGGCTTTTTTATCAAAATATAGATAAATTGGAATATGTCAACAGTATAAATTTATCACTAACAAAATGCACATCAAGCCGTTTGATTCTGAGGAGGTATGAATAAGTACGGTGGTGTCTCAAGGGTTAAGAAGGAGGATGGACTAATTACACGAAATTTGACTAACTTACATATTATAACTTTTCAAAATCTTGTAGGTCTATCTTAATCTTGCCGGTCACTTTCAGAGATTATTGAATAGATTTCTTCCGAGATAAAGGAAAGGAATCTGTAAATGCCTGTAAAGTGAAACGTAATTTTCTAGAAGTTTGCCAACAAATGCAATGAATCTTGTTTTTTTTTCTATTGACGAATTAATCAAACTATCAAAATACTTCAGATAACATTGTATTTTATAATTACTGATAGATAAATCCATTAAAGTCGTTTCAATTAACACGAAGCTCCAACAACATATGACTATCTATTATATTAGTAGTTTAAAATAACTAGATTTTGTTCAAATGATAGCAATACATCATTTCATCTTTAAGCTCAGTAGCTTAGTGGATTGTGTGTCGTAATTTGGAGAGATAAGTACTGGGTTCGAATCATGGTCTAGAGATCAACATATGGAATTCAAGTACAAACTCAAAGATTAAGACACATCTCGAATCCCATTGCTAATTACACTCCCAAAAATATAATTAGGATTTTAACTATAGGCAGTGTAAAGGTTTGTACATAGGATGGATATGCATGCCAGCACAGAATGATCAAATAAAACTGAATATCATCCATGTGGAAATACAAGTCCTTATGAACTAGGAAATGTTTATTACTGACGTTCATCACTGAAGTGATTAATTGCAACTGGTATCCACGACTAAACTTGACCATAATAATGACTGCTGGCAACCAGCTTTTGATTTATTTAAAGAAGCTGACAAAATTCGAACATATTTCGTGTAAAAATGCACAAATGACTTTAACAACTGTTAACTATTCGTATGAAAAAACAAACAATATATTCAACCAACAATTAGTTGAATAAATTTGGGAAGATGTTTAAAGGACAGTCCAGTTAGCTTTTTAATTAAGTCTTTCTTAGGGTGATACAAATATAACTTGAAAAATTGACTGATCACTCACAAGTGGCCGGTGTCATGACTGTCTAGCCCTTTTAGAGCTAACCGAATTCTATCGATCAAGTTGCAACATGGCCACTAGTCTAATCTACTCGTCATCACGTGCACAATGTTGAGACGTGAGGAGGTGGTTGAAAGTAGTTGAGAGAAGAACTGATTCCAGGCTTTGTGCTTTTCAGTCCTCACCAGCAAGGTGTACATGTAATCCTAAGGGCAATGATGCCCCCTGAACGATTCGATCTTTTGTGGATAGAATAGGACCAGCACTAAGACACATGATTGAATCCACTAGTGAAAACCAGTACCCTTAAGACCACAGGCAAATGTTGTTAACGAATGCAAAACAGCGAAAAACCTGGGTTCACAGTTTCCTGTCAACTATCTCCAAACCCCAGTTTACGACCGTGTGTCCTGTTCCTCAAAAATCCAGTTATCCATGGAAACGTTAACAAACGATATATTTTCCTTCATATTTCTCCATAATCTCTTACGGCTTGGGGGTAAATTAGTAAAAATTACAATCAATTCAATGAATTGTAGGGATTTATGTGGATATCATAGTGTCTAGTAACTATGATAATGCATTTACAATAAGTTCACAACCTCAAACCGAACTCATATATTACCACTAAAGCAGTCGGGACAGCAAAAGCATGGTCTTAAATACCCCATACAGATCACTTGGAGAAATGTCGGGAATCAGGGACGACAGTGCACCAAAATGTAATATACATCAAAGACTAATAAGACCAAGCACTATAAACAGTATGTACCTTAGGAAATAGAGATAACATTGCGAAGAAATAAAAGAGAAAATGGTCTTAAAATACGATAAACGTACAATGATGATTCACCATATATGGAACGATTCGTATAACAATATAGCGTAAGACTTCTTACAGTTAAGTGGGTCCTCCCTACTTCTATGTAGAAAGTAGAAATTTCCGCGAGTGACCTCAATTCTAAACTATCTGAAGACGTCCCCAAGCCAATGAATTGCGTTATCTGTAATACCAACCACAGAATATTGTTGGGCCTGCAGATATCAATCCTACGGAGATCTTTCATACTAAGAAACTAAATTATAAAATGATCGTGTCTATGCCTATCCAACCACTTCAGGCATAAGCAAATGTGGAAGACGTTTAGACGACACCTTCAAGCCATCGATTTAAATTAACTACAACTTAGCCAACGTACCAGCTACACGACCTCTTATTGTTTTGCTTGGCGGTCGGCAATGCAGGTTAGTTAAGGTATGCTAATCGTCTCCAGTACCCTCTTTCGCTTGAGAAGGCAGCATCAATAGAACTACCGGTTGCACGAAGGCATCTTACTGTCGACTATCACTAATCAGTGGCACATAATCGCCCTCGAACATTAATAAATATATTCCTGAGCTAGTACCTACCCAACCAACTTGGCCAGCAGTGTACAAGGAAGGCACTGATGTCTCACGCAACGCCATATGACCAACCTCCCGGTGTAAGCGCGACAGCTAGCACATCAAGGCTGCTTGAGAGGACAGGAAACCGTCAAATCCACCACAGCTTTATGAGAAATTAAGTTATCAAGCAATGCATCTGACCATATAAACATCAGTGCGTCCGAAAACCAGTGACAATCAAGGGCATGGGGTTAACTAGTTTGATTTGATTCAGTTAGGAACCAGAGATCTGGCCGTCCTCGGGAACTAGCTCAAGACATCCATTCTGAACCTAATATTTTCACAATTAACTCACAATACTGATGTGCTAAGCTAGTCAACTTCTAGAGACAAGGCTATCCATAATGAGCCGACAGTTGTTGGCTTCCCGGCTGAGATTATGCTGCATACCTTGCAATAACAAAAAGGCCTACACTTGATCTTCCGACTTTGCACGAATACCTGCAAAGCGAGCTACTATCTGTGTATTGATAGCTGACAGTGAAGCGGCCGCCCGATATACAAACTTACATCTAGCAAGCAACTACCAACTGGTCAAGCTCGAAATTTAGGATAAGTCTGTTTCAGGATTGGCGTGAAGTACGTCTTTTTGCAGCTAACAGAAAGGCAGTCACGTAGGTAGTCAGCCGACTCCACATTTCAATACGCAACAAGCACGAGAGCGTCACTTAACAAAAAATCAATATGCTGAACTAAGTTTAAAAGACTATTATTCAACAAACTTTTGTATTTATAAAAGTTACGCTTGGTGTAAACCAAGATACACAAAATAGTAATTTTCGATCTCGTAGTCAATCTGTAAGGAAAACATGCGTGTGACAATGCTTTGCAGCGAACATTTGACCGACATTCTTACGGGCATCAACAATCAACATTATACTAAGCTGATCAACACAGAGACAAGCTTTGAATGCAGCCCCTTCGGAATCGTTACAGGACATTGTGTGGACCCTTGATGTACTGAGACTTCTTGATTCCATAATCCGTCTGTAAGGCAAAAAGAATCGTGTGACAATGCTTTGCAAACTTCAGACTCATTAAATCAGCTAACAATTAACCGACATATTTACGGACATCAACAATCATCATGGCACTAACCTAGTCGGCACACAGATAAGCTTCAACGGCAGTCTTTCAACAATCGATATTTTTGCGAACCGGTACAAACTTTACAGGAAGCAATATAGGAGCAAATTGTACCGGGACTTCATGAATACGCTCAACAACGAGTTTCATAGCAGACTTGAAAGATCCAACAACTTTTCATTCACATTGCGAGGGTATTTTTCGAAAGTTGTAGGCTGATTATTTAACTGTATAAGGAGAAACTAATTAGTTTTCAATTGACTCAGAGACATAATAAATCATGTTATCATAGGATTGACAGATTGTGAAGTGACATCATGTGACAAACGAATTACATTACTTACCATTCGAGCATAGTCCACCTGGAAAATAAACAAAATTACGAGAGTAATGTTAATGATTTAGGCATAATAAATGAGAAATACATGAAAAAAATACTACATACATCTTCAGACATCTCCAAATCAGCGCAGCGCATTTTCACACGGTGGGTTCTAACCGTGCTGTGGAAATCCACTGAAAATTACGCTCTAAAGACGGAGAACAATCATCATTCACACGCCACCGGACACAAACACCACATACCTAACACCTGCCACGCAACTGCGTCATGCTGCACGCCACACCACGCAGTCGTATATATACACTTTTTACAATGTACACAAACAAAAACAGGGACATCTATACGATTGCATGTTCAATATAAGGCATTATATTGAAGGGGCATATTTTATTAATTTCCAAAACTTTCGAATAAGCATAGTCAAAATCAAATGCTGATCATAAACATCAGCACTCATATCACTGATAATATATATTCAAATTATTTTTTAGTGGAGGGCATCATCAGGGGAGTAATCTTCATGCAATATAACTATGTTGAATTGGTGAAATGTGGCTTACGTAGAGTGTGCATTGAAGCTAAAATACTAATCATTTAAAAACCACCCATGTCGTTTAGAAGTTGCAGGGTTGTGATTCCCAAACTCTCCATATAACTGTATATCTACGGCTGCTTAAGACAGAATTTTCAACTCTAGATAAATTGCACTAGACAAATATGTTCATATTCGTGTTAAATCGG